GGGATCCGAACCCTCGGCGGGAGTGCCTCCGTGCTTCCCAAGCGGCGCACTAGCGCAGTGCTCCACCAGGCCGGCCCCTAGAGTGCAGTATTCTAACACGAAGGGTTTGGATCCCTGTACTGGCCAGCTGCCAAAAAAAACCCCACCAAATATCTATTTAAAATATATTAGTTGTTCATTAAACAAAGACTATAAATTACCATTTAATTTCTTTTTTATCATTTTGAAGAGAGTAAGCATATCTTTATTCATATTTGTATTAAACAGCATACAGCATACACACAAGAATGGAAGAATGGTAGCTGTTGGGTAAATTATACTCAATTACTGTAAATGTCAGTTACCGTAGTATGTTCTAATATGTCATGCCCTCAAGGGCAATTCATGTGTGGAAAACTGTTTGCCCTTTGTATAAAAGGGTCTCAGGTTGCTTTGCTGTCTCGGTTTGAGACCGAGTCTGTTGCTGTCTCCTCTCTGGCTGTCAGCTACCACATCTGGTCCCTCTTGGTGTATCTGCCGTCAGTGGCCTCCTTCCACCTCAGTTTATGCTTCTAATCTTATCTGTTGCAGCATCCCTCCACCAGAATTGTGGGATCATGGCCTTAGTTGGTCTCAAGGTTCTCTGAGCATGTTGTGCTTTGATTTTGTGATGGCGTTTTGACTACTCAGAGCCTCTCTCTGCTCACTTCCTTGATTGTTGTGGATAGTCATGGATGTAGGATAAGGGATCTCTTAATTGACAGATTATAGCTGTACTTCTTGTTTAAGACTTCTGGGACAATTTACCTAAAAGCCACTGTCATGCTTAAATTAATAACTGAAATGAGGAGCTGTTTGAGAGAAAAGCGAAGTGTGGGAGTTGGATGGCTTGAAGGATGATTTAACTAGTTCTTAGCAAAACTTCATTGGGAGTTTAGGGATTAAGAAATAGAAGGAAAGCTTTTGTTTTATGGACGAATTACTATCACTCCATTAAGAACAGAGTTTCAGTGTGTGTTCAGTGCCTCCTTAGCTTACAGCTGGGAGAAATTCTGCATTAGGTAAAATCTGTATTGTATGAAACTACTCTTTGGTCTTAAAATGTCTCTCTGCTGTTTACATTTACATCGTGGCTAACTGTTAATATAAGTAATTCTTGTATTGAAGAGTAATAGGCTCATATAACAGACAAATCAGCACAGGTCAGTCAGTTTTTAAGCTGTGGTTTTGGTTTTGGTTTTTTTTTTCCTTCTGATTGAGAGTAGCATTTGGACATATGTAGAAGGGCTCATTAGGGACCATGAAAGTTTGGTTTATAGAAAGTGTTTTACTCGGTTAGAGTGCAGTGTCAACATCAGCGTCAAGGGTTAACATCCCCATACTGGCCAGCCACACACCCCACACACACAGAAAAGTGTTTTAATGGCTCGTGAATCCTTTGCGAACTTGCCAGCTACTAACATGTTGCAGCCTAGAAAGTTTTCATATCTCCTTCCTTGAATATCTTTTTTTTTTTTTTTTTTTAATAGGGATGACCAGTAAGGGGATCTCAACCCTTGGCTTGGT